AGTTTAGACCATCGCTTATATTAATTAAAACAAGAATTTTAAAATTTCAATAATGAACCCCTTCAGCAACTCCCTTGAATCCTCGAAAATGCACTCAACTAGACTCATATTAGGACTTGCACTTTGGATAACCAAAGTGATCTAGAGTAGACAAAGATCCTCATGAATGAGTGTCTTTGGTTGATTTTTGCAAGCATAATTCATAAGTGATGATCTAAAAACTATACGATTCAAATTATTAGGTCACATCTCAAGGTGAAACCTATGAAAATGCTTACTCACGTATGCACACACATCTCAATGCCCATCCTTGAAAGAATGTAGCCAAATAAAAAAAACGTTTAGCCATATAAATATGATCAAATAATAAATTTTTTATATAAATAATAAAAAATCAGAATGATAATCAAATGGCCAAAAAAAATTTCACTTTTTGTTTTTGTTTTTAAGAAGTTGTACATAGAATTTATATAATTTAAAAATAAAAAATAAAAACCGTGTTGCTCGTACACAAGGCACTCTCAAATTCACAATGATGCTTAAAACATTCCAAGGAGACATTCAGTTTTACTTTTACCACTCAAGGGTTAAGAAATATATTTATGGCAAGTGGTAACAAATTCATATTCACAAATAGACAAGGACATATTATTCATTCATATTACACTAGTAGTAGTACTTACTTATGTACTCACAAATAGGCGCCAGGCTACCAACTCTACCGTTGAAAACCCAAACATGTTTTTCATTACAATTTGTGTTTTTTTTTCTTACTTAAATCACAGCTGGGTGGTGTTGTGTGAGAGTGGGCAAAGGCCAAAATGCAGACAAAAGGGAATACCGTGTGGGTCCCATACCCATGACAAAATCCTTCTCACCTGGACTTTTTTGCTCGCACAGCCATGGTCCTAGTAGTCTAGTACTCTTGTGGGCCCTCCACATCCCACAATAAATAAATGCAAATTGAAAATTAAAATCCAAAAAGTGAAAGTAGAAAAAATCTCCTGTGTTTGCCTTTGCCAGTCCACTCTCGTTTCAATGTCTCTACGACCCACGTGCCTTTTGTTCCGCAACAACGCATGTTTAGACCTCGCCACGTGGGTTTACTGGGATAGCGAGTTCCTGCTCACGGGTGTTGTGGACCAACCGGCCACCCTGAAATGCAGAAACTGCTCTAATAGCGATCTCCTGCCAAAAAAGACAAAATATTTTTGAAAATAAAGGAAAACATAAAAGTACAAATTGTACCAAAAATATTGTAATTCGTGTTAAGATTTTAGAGAGATGGACTCTTGGTCCACCACTAACAATATTAATATTATCTCTAATTTAACTACTTGTTTAGTAAGTATGAGATTTTATATAAAAGCTTTCGATGTTATTAGGAGTAGAACCATTTATTATATGAGAGTTTCTATTTTGTTAAGTTTTTGATATGGGACTCGTGTATTCTTTAACAGTTTGCGGTTGTAGTTCTGTGAGCTTTTAAGTCGGAATTTCTTTGGCTATTTATGGATATGTGTGGAGGTACACTTGTGCTCCTGATATTCCGGTGGAGTCCTCTGTATTTAGATTAACCCTTTTTGTGGTTACTGCACTTTTGTATTTGCAATAACCTTATGTGGTTATCTGTATTTGTACTAGCTCTTGTGGTTGACAGCCGTTGTGCCTGAATTATAAATGCAATATATCATCTTTAACTATAAAAAATCAGTAGTTGTATAAGTTGGATAAGAAATTCCGATTTCAGCTAATGTCAATTTGGAAATTTCAATTTTCGCACTCTACATATGAAATTCTAAAGTCCAAAAACAAAAAACAAAAATTGGAAAGTATCTCAAAATTCTGAATTTCAAGATATGGATTTCACTCTAGCCACATTGTCTAACTTCATATTGAAATAAATATGACCTAATGACCAAAGAGACATATATGAGTTGTTACATAAATGATAGCAATAGTTTCTTTGAGCTTTCGATATGAGTTTTCTATTTTGACCAATTTTAATCTTTCAAATTGTTGACCATATTCAAAAGGGAAAAGTTTAGAAATGTTACTTGAACTTATACACCAACTTCATCTGAAAGGGTGATTTGTTGTCATAGGATATAGGCCTTATGTTGTCTTATTTACTTGATGAGGAGCTGCACACTTTACAAATTTACTATATAAGCAAAAATTAACTTGACTATGTTCTTTAAACTTATTTATCATCTTGCTTATTTCATATCAAGCTTCCTCCAAGAACCTGTTGTGTGCTACTTGGTTTGCATCTTAAGGCTTGATTATCATACTTATTTGGAATGCTTACAATTTGGTGCGTCTCCTTTTGTCTCTTATTCTCCTTTTTTTCTTTTTTTCTTTTCATGGTCTTGAATGAAGTTCATATATCTAATTCGTTGGCACATCTTATTTTTCTTTATCATCTGAATTTTCAACAATAAGAATGGATCTAACAATGGTCCTTCCATCTTAATGACATTTTGCATTGTCCCTTTGCCTCAACCAGTTTGATTTCTATTTATCATTTCACTTCTAACATCAACTGTTATATCCTAATTTTTCTTGATTATTTTTATTGTCAAGGACCTTAAGACACATAAGACGCTTTTTTAAGGGAGGTGTGAGAATTGATTATGTTTGTACCATATCTGACCCGCTGCTCAAGTCATGACATGTGGAAAGAGTTCGACACTAGGGAAGACCATATGGACCACACAGGCAAACCAAGTAGTATGGATTGGTAGATACCTTCGGTGCCCACGACCAATTCTGCGCCCAACGTAGCCCTGAAACCCATGTTGGTGAGCCCAGTCCTACAAACAGCAGGCGCTTATGGCTTTATCCTCTGATTGTTCATCAACCATGCATCTGGCATGCCTTGTCGATTCTACGCCCTATAGGACATCTTTGGGACGTTCTCGAAACCCCCACTGGGATATTTCCCGGGACTTATGTCAACCTCAGAAGGCACTCCCACGAGTCCCACATTGAAACTAAGTGCAAAAAGGATACCCAACTCTCTTTATAAATAGGGCCTCTCACCCTAGATACAAGGTAAGACTTTCGGCTTGACTCTTATGCTCCTACATTGTCAATAGATTGCTATCCTCTTCTTAAAACTAACTTTAGCATTGGAGCACTCGCAGCTGGTACCACACCGGTGCCTTAGACCTTATTTGTTATTTTGTCTCCTTGGTCTAGATCCGGCATTGCCTACCAAAGAAGAACGTGCCTACCGAAGGCACATCCAACCCTTAGAACGTCCACGTCAACTGTAAGTTGCTCTTATCTCTATTTGTTTAGTTTTAGTGCAAAAAAATTGGCATCGTTTGTGGAAATCGATTATCGATCAACCCATATCTCTCTTGAGTGAAGATGAATTCACCTTCATCCCTTATCGTCGATGGTCCCATCATCGACCTCAGAGCGAGCCCCACTCCCCCACTTGGCACACCTAGAACGGAGACGCCTGCTCGACAATACACACTTGAAACTCTAATGGAAGCCCTACAATAAGAAATGGCGAAGATGTAGGAGCACAACAGTATCCTATCTTTCAAGCTCGACGACACCCAGAGACAGCTCTATGACTAGCAGTCGCACTCAGCCCAGTTGTAGGACTGTCTTGAGCAAACCATGTAGCTTCGACAAGAACAGTCATTCAGAAGTGTACCCAAACCCAATGGTCGTGACAAGGGAAAGAAACCGGCAATAGGCAGACCTTCTGCCTCCCGACGGATGTTTGTGCCCTCCCCAGAGGAACACCACCAAGAATATCAAGTATATTCCGATTTCGGGATAGGCTCAACGATCGGCGCAAGGAACGACAACCATCACCACTCCTGGTCCAAGAAAAACTCGACAATTGGCGTTTGGACGTACTCGGTCCAAAATCCCTCTTTAGTCGAAGATAAGACTCGATCAGCCTGGAGGAAACAGACGAATCAGACTATGTTCCGACTTCTCCTGGGACCACGATCTCCTACCCATTAGCAGGCCCAAGGTCCTCTCGAAGGGATCACCAAAGCTACTGACCAACGGAAGGGGATGAGCGGCAAAAGGAAGGTCGTAACAGGGACGCTCATTGAACGACAGGCCATGGGAGCTAGGGTCGTGACGCTTGTCAACCAATAGCCCTCCACTCAGTAGGACTCTTCTGCGACGACTTGCCACTTGCCGATCTCACCATCCGTCTCATTTTTCAGAAGATCAGTCATATCAAGGAGTAGAACCGATCTCGACAACCAACCTAGAGTAAGTACTCCGAATATCGTTCTACATGGGGGTCGAAGATCCTGTCACCCACATCCATACTTTCCAATCGGCGTTAGGTAACGAAGGGCTTACTGACTGGAGCCAATACTTGTTGTATCCCTCCACCTTGGCTGGAGCAGCCCTAAATTTGTTCTACCGATTGGAGCCAAATACGATCTACTACTTCGACCAACTAAAACAAACTTTTCTTAACCATTTTATGATACAGACCGATCATTTTTATTCTACCAATGACCTTTATACTATCTGGCAATGGCACGACAAGCCTTTATATGCCTCCAGGTTCAGCAATGAATACTCTCATTGCCCAAAAATCAATGACCGAGCGGGGCTCAGCGCTTTCAAAAGTAGCCTTAAATCGTCTCAATTCCGCTACTTAGTCCACAGCAACAACTGGACGACCTATGGAGAGCTGATGAAGCAGGCAGCAATCCATGCAAAAGCAGAACATTTCAATTCCAAAGGAAGACCTTTGGCACCCCCCGCCTAATGACACCTACGGATCAACCAAGGACGACAACCTAAGATCGCTTCCCATCTGCCCAAACAACGAACCAAAAACCTACCAAACGACACCCCTTACGTCCACTCCTTATGCGACAGGAGACAAGTAGAGGGACGGCTTTTAAAACCGGCAGGACGGGAATAAGTGTAGTAAAGACTCCAGTGGCCGAAGCAACTTCAAAAGACCGAAGAAGAATCGGCCAGTAGAAGTTTTCACCCTACTCAACACCACTTACGAGTACGTTCTCATGAATGAAAATCAAATGATTCCAAAGTCGAAAGGCCGGAAGCTCCCTCCCGAAAGAGACAAAGACATCAGAATGTTCTGTAGATACCACCAATATAACGGCCACGATACAGAATCGTGCATCGCCCTCCGCAAAGTCATTGAACGCCTCATCAACGAAGGCAAACTTGATTAGTATCTGAGCACACGACCAAACCCGGAGCAGCCAATAAATTGGCAGATCAACATGATCAGTGGAGTTGCACCCATTGCCGACACCAGTAACTGCTCAATTAAAAACTATATACGTGCCGTTCGGCACCCACGAGTCCTCAGCGTATCCGGTGGGCACAATGACAAGATTCGACGAATCAATTGGGAACCCATTACCTTTTCCGAAGAAGAGGAAAAAGACATTATTTTTCCATATTTCGATCCCATGATCATCCGGGCCGACATTGCTGATTTTGACGTAGGCTGAATCCTCATCGATGTTTTCAATGCCCTCGGGATTGAACACCAATAAGTCAACAAGGACATCACCCTATCTTTTGATCTTCTCAAGTGACGTGGTCGAGCCGATCAAAAGTGTCCAGCTCCATTTCGCCGTCGATATAGCCTCTAGAAGATTCGTCATCTACACCCACTTCATAATCGTCGACTGCCCAATAGCCTACAACGCCATCATCGGCAGACCAATGCTAACCAGAATGAAAGCCATGCTGTCACCACACATGCTCCTCCTCAAATTCCTGATGCACTCTGGCATTGGCCAAGTGCGTGGGAATCAATTGAGTGCATAGATGTGTTACGTGTCGGCGACCAAGGAATCGGCAAAGGCGACACTGCGAGAGTCATACTCGGTCTCCACCCAACCCAGCATGGTGCCGAACGACAGGTGATCAACCCTATGATATGCGAGATGAGGTTGTCACCCCGCATGCTTAACCTGTCCAGGACTTAGAATCGGTGGCCATCACCCATGGTCTCCCTGGTTATGACAAAGGATTAACCATCCATCAAAGCCAGAAGGACCCAAAAAAAAAGGCTTGATAAGGGAAAAAACCGTGGCTCTTCAGCAAGCTTCGTCACCTAAATCAACCACCGAGCCACCACATGCTGCCCAATCTGTCCCACCAAGACTAGGATCTCCAACTGGCACTCCCATAAGATCGCATCATCACTAGTCTCCAGAAGTTCGTCAATGAAGAATGTGGAAAATTTCTAGCTGCTGCCATCGCTGAATCGACGGCTTCAAGTCGTGATCTCATCCCGTCGACAACAACGTCATACTCGTAGACCTCTCAGATGTAAAACCTCTAAATGAGTTCCCCTTTACGATGTCAGAGTCACTTTGGAAAATCTCCAGAAAAATGGCAGTTATGGCCAAGCTCGATCTAGACTTTTTTGGCATCATTTCGCGACGCCTTTAGTACCAATATGATCATCTGCTTTTGATATGCAAAACCCAGGAAGGGTAGCGCCAGTCGACGTTGAAAAACTAATGACGCGCCAAGGGGAGATTTGCCAAAACTGTGCAGCGTCACCTACACTGTTCCACCCTTCTCCTCGTGACACCGTCACCATGAGTAGAACCAGGAGACTTCGGTTCATCTGTTTTAGGGAACATCCAGCCCCGAGTCATTGCATCTTTGGAGATTGAGCAACATGTGCCGGAGCCAAGGCTTCTTCTAATGGCAGCTCACAAACACTGAACGCTATTTCTCTCTCTATCATATTTCTTGATTTAACAATTCTTAAATAAATATAAATATTTTATATTTTATTATAAATTAAAGCACTTTTCTAGTAAATATTAGTATGTGATATTTATTTTGAATTAGTGCAAATTTTTAGTAGATATTAATAATTAATATTTTATTATGAAATTATTGCACATGTCTTATTTAATAATCTTATTATTTCATGGGACATATGATATTACGAATGACATGCATTACAACATTACGCTTTTATCATGCCTACTAATATATTTTATCACTAATGATTAGGAAAATGTCAAATGACTTGGTGACCAACCTTCGAATCCTCGGTCAACAAGATCAATGATTCATTGATCAGCCTGATCCATGATCCTTCAACTGAGGTTGACAACATCTTTCAAGGCCCCATGGCCGAAGCAGGAAATCCACCTTAGGGCCCAAGGCCGAGGTTGGGATTTTCACCCATGATGAGGACATAATCTCTCATCACGACAATCCTGTCGCTGCCAGTTATGGCCTGATCATGGAACAAAAGCAACCATTCCCTCTTTTGCCACCGCGCTTGACGTTTGCTCCCACATACACCTCCAACAAAACCCTAGCCCATGTGCAACCCACACAATTCTCTCATCCTCATCTAAGCAGTCAAGTAGACCTCAGTCTTAGAGTCAACTAATTGACCTCGAGAGTCGACGACCTAAACCACTTGGTTGGATAGCTCCTTAGGCAGATTGACCTAGTCTGCGAGAGAAGGATGGACAAACATACTGGCATGCAGTTCAAGAGGTCCCAGGTAGGTCGAGTAGTAGCAAGCATGCAAGGAGGACACGAATGTTCTACACAGCACCAGGGCATGTCGCAAGCATTTGCAAGCCTTGCTCAAAGTAGATCTAAGGACCAACGTTCACACAAGCCTGGGGATACAATTCGATATCAGAGGCTCACCAACTTGCACTGAAAGAGCAAATTCCAGGCCACACGTGTAGAAAATCCTTCACAAGTTCAATCCACTAATAATCTGTGCCAACAGGCAGCCGAGGAGAACATCCCTTACAATCGAGGAGGAAGTTGACCAACGACGACCGCGTCGTGAATGTCCTTGATAAGATTGAGCAAGTAGCTCCACCGAAGTGATTCTCAATGCCTTTTTTCATGTATTTCAAAGGGGATTCGGATCCCAAGAGCCATTTAAAGTACTTCAAAAGTGTCATGATTCTTTACAAGTTAGAGGTGTGCTAATGTGCTAGGTATTTGCAATGACCTTGCGAGGAGCAGTTCAGGATTGGTTTCATACCCTGCCTTCCGGGTCGATCAGTATCTTCAGAGAGCTAGCACTCGTCTTCGCGAAGGCGTACACCTCCTATAGGAGGATCAAGAATAACCATGACCATTAGTTCAACCTGTGCAAGAAGTATGATGAGTCCCTCCGAAACTACAGCAAGAAATTCAAGGTGGAGAAAGCAAACATTGTGGGATGCGATTATCGAATTGCATCCTCTACTTTTAAAAAAGGCTTGCCAGCCGAGCACAACCTGTATGGCAAGCTGACTATTATCGCTCCCAGCCAGACTTTGGTAGAAGTTTTCACAACTATGGAAAGCTGTGCGCTATGGGATGACGATCAAATCGCCATAAAGAAGTCTGCTAAGCAAGTTGAACAACCGACCAAGAGGTAGGTCAGAGAAGTGATAAACCCAACAGTAGGAACCATGGAGGGAAGTGCAAGGCATAATCCCAAGGAGGAGCACCAGCAGATGAAGGCTACACAAAGTTCACTATCCTGATGCATCAAATCTTAGCCTAAATGAAAGACAAGCCTTGGCTGAAGATGTCACCACTTTTGAAGGGAGATCCTAATAAGAGAGATACTAACAAGTATTGCACTTTCCATGGAACACATGGGCATGACATAGCCAACTGCCGATCTTAGAAGATGCACCTCGAAAAGCTCGTAAGAGAGGGCCATTGCACGGAGTTCGTGGTAAAGAAGGTCATCCAGTAGATCAAGGATCGCAATGTAGCTAAGGAGCCTCTACAGAAGGTCATAAGGATTAACACAATCCTGGTCGACTATGAGGAATCCGGGCTGACGAGCAAAAAAAAAGTAAAAAAAAAGAAAGAGAAGATTAAGTAGGCAATTGTGATCTCCCAAGTCTTAACCAGCTATCCAGCAATTAAAGATGATCTCGTGATCGGCTTCCAGAAGAAAGACCTAATTGGGCTTGATCTACCTCACAATGATGCCCTCGCTATAAGCACCCAAATCTTGCAAGCCATGATCAAGTAAAGTCATGCAAACGAGGGTAGTGTAGCCAAATATCCTGCAACTTTTAGTAGTCCAATAGATGGGCATAGAGGCTAAGATCAACAAGGCAGCTAGGTCACTGACCGGCTTCAATAGAGCAACCTTAATCACTGTGGGAATAGTGGAGCTCGATGTCTACTATCCACCAGTGATCAGCGAGCAGAAGTTCATGATCATCAATAAGGTCTCCCCCTACAATGATATATTGGGTAGCCCATGGATTGACAAGATCAACGTTATCAGTTTTGCCACACACAAGAAAATCCACTACCTAATTCCTGGGGGTAGTGTCAATCAGATCAATAATAATCAGGTGATGGCCAGTAGATGCTCAGCTTTAGGGCTTAAAAAAAAGCAAGCAAGCACAGTTCATACCAATAAGCCGAACAGAACAAGCAGCGGCGGAAGCATATCCCATTCTTAATAGTCGAGCAGACTAGAAAAGAAAGGAAAAGGAATAGCCATCACCCAATAGCAATTAAAGAACGAGGACCAAGACGATGAAATCCTTTCGGAGGTCTCTCTTGAAGAATGATGGAAGCCCGAGGAAGACGTCGAGCTAGTACCCCTTGATCTTAACCAAGCGAGAAAGAAGTGCGGATCGGCTCGCGTCTAAGCTCGAAAGAGAAGGTAAAGCTGACCACTTTCCTCAAGAACAATAAAGACGTGTTCACATGGTCACCATTTAACATACTAGGCATCGATCCGCAGATCATCTGTCATCAACTTCATGTCAACCTAGCCAGCAGACCAGTAGCGCAGAAAAGACACAACTTCGCTCCCAAGTGAGTTGCCATCATTGAAGTCGAGATTGACAAGCTCCTAGCTGCTGGCTTCATTAAGGAAGTCTCCTACTCGAAGTGTCTGGCCAACGTTGTTCTTGTGGCAAAGAAAGACTAAGGTAAGTGAAGAGTGTGCGTGGACTACATTGACCTTAACAAGAAATACCTGAAAGACAACTTTCCATTGCCAAGATTAAGACCAGCTTGTAGATTCAACTTTCGGTAACCAACTGCTAAGCTTCATGAACGCCTACTCCTTCTACAATCAAATCATGATGCATGAAGAAGATAAAGGGAAAATGGAGAAACTCATTTTGGCCCATGTAGTTTTCGAAAGAAAGCTAAACTTATTGGATCATTGTCATGACCGACTTTCCTTTGAGATTGATTCTCTACAGCCTCGACGCTTCTCAGCAACTCATGAAATGTGCTATAGAATTGAGTTAGTATGACCTCATCTACCAGATGAATAATACTATTAAAGACCAAGCTTTAGAAGATTTTGTTACAAAGTTCAGTCCATCAATCGAAGAACAAAATTTGGTCATAAAAAAGAAGGAAATTTCGAGAGTAGACAGGACCTCCTCCGCCGATCTTGACCTACCCAAAGACATGTGGAAGTTACGCGTAAACAGAGGGTCAAATCATTAAGGAGTTGGAGCAAGCGTCATCATAATCACCCTATGCAGAACTTTATTGGAGCAAGCCATCACACTAGGCTTTCCAACCTCAAACAACGAAGTATAATACGAGGCATTACTTTATAGACTACACTTGGAAAGGGAGTTATCGATCAAGAGGTTAGCCATCTACTTAGATTCCCAGCTGATCACTAGTCAAGCTTTAAGCAAGTACATGGTGAAACACCCAAGCATGATCTAGTACCTCGACAAAGTGCAGGAGCTTTTGAAAGCATTTCCTACCATCACTATCTAACAAATTCCATGGGCAGAGGACACATATATGGATGCGTTGGTAAGCCTGGGATCAACATTGGACACCCAGTTTAGAAGTTCAATTTTGGTCGAGCACCTTGATTAGCTAAGCATCAAAGAAACAGAACAATCAGACCTAATGCAGATCGATGAGGATCCCAGCTAGCAAGACCCCATCATCGACTACTTAGTGAATGAAATTTGCCAAGAGAGAAGTCCGAAGCAAGGAAGATCCAGTAGAAAGCCTCGAGGTACTACATGAAGGACAACAAGCTTGTACACAGATCATATTCCAGTCCTCACCTTACATGCATAAAGTACCCTTAAACACTTTATAAAATCCACGACAGGGAGTGCAGCAACCACTCTGGGGGCAGGGCACTCGCTCAGAAAGCTCTAAGCATAGCCTACCATGCTCCATGACTTTATGAAGTATGTCAAAAGATGCTAGGCCAACGCTACAAGTTGGTCCTAAGTCTACTTGTCAAAGTGTATCATCTGCATAAGAATTCATTTCTATTCATGCAATTGACTATCGACTTAGTAGGTCCCATGTCTTCGACACCTGTTAAGAAGGACATGATGATCGTCGTCATAGACTACTTTACTAAATGGATCAAGACCGAAGCTCTATCCTCTACTAAAGAAGCCGACGTTGAACGATTCATCTAAAGAAACATCATTTGCCAGTTCGGTTGCCCATATTCGCTAGTCATTGATAATGGATCGAAATACATCGGCAAACAGATGACTAAATCCACTCAACTTCAGTTCAAAGAAAGTTTGAGTTTGTATTCAACGAAGTGTTTAAGACAAATGAAGTATTCTAAGAGAGATAGAAGGTCATTGTCCAAAAGTGTCCTACGGGAGAGACAGGACAACTACAATTAAGTGTCCTAAGGGAGATGCAAGCCAAGAAGGCCACTGTCTAAAAGCTTCCTAAGGGAGATGCATGACAATTAAAATGAAGCATTCTAAGGGAGATGTAGGCTAAGGTAGACCATTATCCAAAAGCGTCCTAAGGGAGACATAGGACAACTACAATGAAGCGTCCTAAAGGAGACGCATGCCAAACAGGCCACTGTCCAAAAGAATCATATGGGAAATGCATGACAGCTATAATGACGCATCCTAAGGGAGACGCAGCCCAAGCAGGTCACTGTCCAAAAGCATCATAAGGCGTAGGACAACTACAATGAAGCCTCCTAAGGGAGACGCATGTCAAACAGACCACTGTCCAAAAGCGTCCTAAGGGAGACACATGACAACTACAACGAATCATCCTAAGGGAGACACATGCCAAGTAGGCCAATGTCTAAAAGCGTCCCAACATTGGTGATTGATGAAACTTTTTTTGCCTTGGCCAATGGCACCAAACCACATTTGTGCTTGAATAATCTATTTTAAAACAATATAAATGCAAGAAAAAATATATATAAAAAAGTGTTATATTGAATAAAACGGCATTTAGAATTGTCGCTTTGACCAAAAAAAAATCGTCGCCAAGATTTTGACTGCTTCGAATGTTCTCCCTCGGTTTTGCCAACACATCTATATATTTCCATAACTCTTTATTTAAAAAATTTCACCTACTAGCCAAGACCATTTCTGTACGAGCCGAACCCGATCTTTCACAAAATTTTATATGAATTTTTCTCCACATATGAGAGGATTTCATCTCATTGCCCATGATCGGGCAATGACCAACTTTGACCCAACACTCATCCAACAAAATATCTTTTACGGTTGTCCATGCTTGTTTGGTTTCGATGGAAGGGGCCATTTGTATTTTTACACAAATGGAATTTAGTAGTAGAAAATTTGGTGTGGAAGGTGAAAAATATTGGAAGGAGATGAATTTGTATGAAAATTTGGTGTGGAAAGTAAATAACATTGGTAGGTATTATAGAAAAAAATTCCAAATTTTTTTGATTTTTTTTACAAATTTTTTTAGCCAAAAGATGGACAGATGTAGGATTAGAGGAGATTTTTGGATCGGAGGCTCTAGAAGAAGCCATGTGGCTTGAAGCCATGGTTTCTGGTAGTTGTGGGTCAGCGCTGACGTCAGGCTGGCGTAAGTGCAAGAAATTCAAAATTTTTTTTCACGACGGAAAACAAAGTAAAATTCTTGCGTTGACGTCATCATCTCAAAGGCAAGAAGACGGGCTAGATCTTGTGGGCTTGCCTGGGCTCCTGGGCTCCTGGGTCCTACGCCTTGCCTGGGCTGGATCTTACATGCTAGAGCTACCTTCTGAGCCCAGGGCCCCCTCCTGCCTGGGCTAGCTCAAAGGCAGAGGGAGCCCGAGTGCTGGCTCGAGGGCGCGGTTGACGTCATCGCTGATGCCAGCGTGACGTCAGCAGGCGGGTTTAAATTTTTTTTACCGTTGGCGCGTGCAATGCATGCGCCAACGTTAAAAACAATTTGCTGTGCGCACGTCAGCTGTCCTCTGCCATGTGGCGCAATCTGGTCCTCCGATTTCTAATTTTTCATCCAATCCAACGCCCTGGAATTTTTCAAGGCAAAAAATTATGAAAAAAAAAGCGTAAATTTTTTTTAAAAAACCCCAAAAAATACTGATTTTTTTTTCTATAAATACAAATCCCTACTCTTCACTTTTAACAACAAATTCACTTTCTACTCTAAATTTTTTTCACTTTCAAGTTTAATTTTTCTCTATCAAAGAAACTATTAAATAAAATTATTTTATTCAAACATTCCATACTTAAAAAAACTAACCACAACCAAAGCATTAAAAATATAAAAACAAACAAACCACAACTAAAGCATAAAAATTTCTCTATCAAAGAAAATATTAAATAAAATTCCTTTTTGAAATTCAGATGAAATTTATATGAAATTGAAAATTTGAAACCGAAAATCTTATCCGAATATTTTATCAGAAAATCTTATCCGAAAATATTGTCCAAATTAATTGTTTAGGTAAACGAATTTGTGAAAAAAAAACAAAAAATTAAATAGTACTTGCCCTTTGCCATAGCAACTGCTGGAAGTGTAATTTACTTTTTGCAAAGGCAGACAGTATTCACGTGAATAGTGTCTGCCCTAGCCCCCTCCCCCTCTTGCCATGGCAAGAGTTTGACTGCTGGAAGTGCCCTAAGAGCTTCAAGCCAAAGGCAAATACAAATACTCATTGAATTCAACCTTTGCAAGGAAAAATGTAAAAAGAAAAGTCATTCGACCATGGTTAGAAAAATGACGTCGTCCTGAGTTAAATTAACCACTTTTCTCTCCCTCTCTGTCCGGTTGGATATTAGCTGTCAAAGAAAACTCAATATTAAAAAAAAACCAAAAACAAAAAAAAACAAAAAAACATTTTAAAAACAAATTTTTAACTTTATAAAACACTTTCGAAGGCCTTCTCTTCTCCCTTCTCTCCCCAGTTTTCACTCTCAGCTTCTCTGCTTTCTCTCTCTTTTTTCTGTGTGCCTCTGGCCAAGCTCTCTTTCTCTCTCTCGCTCTCTCTCACTCTTTCTTTCTCTCGTTCTCTCCCACCTTTTCAGCTTCTGTTACTTGGTCAGAGTAATTGATCTCTTTCGGTCCTCAATTTCAGTAATTTCACTGAAATCCCATGTTGGTGGATTGAAGTTATTCACTGATTCTTTTGACTTCTGGAAAATTTCTGGTGAATTCCAGTGCTACTAGTTTGATTATTGTGTAAAGTTTCATACTTTACAAAGTAAAATCCAAAAAGGTTAGATTTAGAGAAAGGCAACTGACAGAGAGAGGGATAGAGAGGCTCTTTTTGAGTAACTGGGTCACTTTTCTCTATCACTTTAAACGCGGGTTTGGTGGTTTTTGTGATTTTGGAGGTGGGTTTTCAAGACTTTGGCTTAAGCTTTAAAATATGATTGTTAGCTCTCTCTGCAATGCAGGCGCTAGGTTCTCGGTGAGTTCATAAAAGCTTCATATAATTTTCTTTTTAACTTTTGCTCATATTCTTCCACATATACCATTGATCATAGCAATTTTTGGTGAACATATATATATATATATGTTACAAATTGTGTTCTATACTCATAAAATTCTGAACATCTTGTGAGTGTTTTTGGAGTGTCAATACGTATTATGTAAATGTGTATTTGGTATTAATAATTATGAGATACTCTATGATATTATTAAATGAGGTGGGAAGATTGTGTACGCCAATTAGATATGCTCATGTTTCAATTCATGCATAGTATATAAATTTGTTGTCTGGGCCCACCAAAAGTCATTCAATAATTTCAGCTTGTTCCGATTACACTCATAGAAGCTAATCTATGATTCTGATCTTGTGCTTTATTATTATTATGATTTTCACTAAAACACCTAAAATGGGGATTGAAATTATAAAAAAATCCAAGCGCTATTTAAACATATAAACACACCCAAAATCCATCATTACACATACTCAAAACCCATTTATAAACACACCCAAAAAATTGACTTTGGGGTTGATTTTGGGTGTGTTTCTATGTTTAAATAGTGCTTGAGTTTTTTTTATAAATACATGTCTAGGGTTGGGTTTATTTATAAATTTGTATTATTATTATTATTATTATTTTATTTTTATCATTTACTAACACGCCATTCAATTTTAAGCGTGGTTGATTTATGTCTTTGGATTAATGAAATCACGGACCTTTGGTCCATTCTAAAGGACTTTGAGTTTTGATTTGTATAATATAATGCATTATTTGCTTGTATTATATATTTATTAGTTTAATATAAGTAGGTGATTGTGTTTTTCATTGTACGATGGAGCTGTTGTCTCTTTGTGAGTTTACAAGTTTTAATAATTTGTTATATACGCTAGCACCAATGGACTGTATATATTATATTTTGTTTTGTGTGTCGAACTGAGGGTAAACCACTGACCGAAACAGTGCATGTTTTGTTTATAATATAAACATTAATAATGCAGTGATGTATTTGCATGCTGTCGTGTATTGCTTATATAAAACTTGATTATTTTAAGGTTTACATTGAATGGCATTAAGCTTGTTCATGGAAAAAATTCGCCGTGTTCCTAGATGCTTCGGTTATCAAAATAAAACTTGTCGGACGGTCAACTGTAATCTTCTATTTTTGGCTTTTCTAACATTACCGCACGGGTGCCTTCCTGCAGCTTCTACCCATGTGCATGATTTCCTGTGTTCTGTAAGACTTGTGTGAAACCTTGTGCATTCATGTGCTTCGTAGGAGGTAAAGGATAAACCAGCATCCAAGAAAGCTTCACGCATATTGCTTTGAGACAAAAAGAAATAAGAGTTTTTCTGTAGTTAGGATATCACTAAGTATTAGCTCATTTTGCATATAGTATATTCGTTTTGTTTCCTAGTGTCGTGGGAATAGTAGAGCATCTGTGCTCATAAATCCTGTCACAAGAGGCCTACTGTTTGGAGAATATGTTTTGTCTGGAATAGATCTGTAGTGAGTATTAAAAAACTGACACATAAGTTCCTGTTCCTGTTAGGTAATTTATTTAATGTGTTAGGAACTTAACATCAATTGTTTTTTTGCTACCCTCCTTTTTAGTTAAGATTCCTTCAAGAGTAGAACAATATGACGAACATGTACAATGCTTATAACCAAACAAGAAGGATGATTCACCTTTCTGGACTGCTTGCTACACATTGTGCCATCAAGGGAAATACTTGAAGTTCTGGATGTATTCATCTTATATTGGGACTTGTGAAAGTGTTAGGTTAACATTGATTACTGGGTGTGTATTTCTGCTAATGCTTGTCTAATCTTACAAATAGTGATTCTTCTTTCTATGTTAACCTAGGGGGAAGAAGGGATAGATGTAAGAAACATGACAGAACACAAAAGAAGCCCCTGCTCTGTTGATCAAAGCAGTTTTACTTCTCTTGCATCCAAACGACATAAGACTGATTTATCCATCTCCACAAAGGTTTCTTTTCCTTCTTTCCCTCCTTTTAATTTTTCAGTTTGTATCCTCATTTATTTGATGTGTGTGTGTGTGTGTCTGTATGTGGGTTTTGACTTCTCTTGCATCCAGCTGACATAAGACTGATTTATCCATCTCCACAAAAGTTTCGTTTCCTGCTTCTCAAATTTTTTGTTATTAGGGTATGGACCTTAATTGTATCTTAGATTCAATGGGGGCTCTAGGATGTTTCTTCTAAACATTGACGAGAGCTGTCTTTTGATATCTGTCTCTCAAGAAATTTATGATTTGTAAAACTTAGGTTTGCACTGGTGTGACTCGATCTTGTTCCTCTTGTTTAATTGGTATTTGGAACTTGAATCAAACACTTGTTTAAATTTTGGTATGTGCGTGTGTTAATTGGTATTTGGGAGGCAATCAAACACTTGTTTAAATTTTGGAACTTGAAGCTCTTACCTTAGAGATATTAGAATTGTTTTCTGATCTCTATAAAATATGCTTTCAAGTGCTCCATTACCTTTATTAATATCCATGGAAAAGAAAAATGCAACTATGGAAAAGAAAAATGCAACTATCTCATAACAATAGTTTATTTATTCAAAGCTGATATAGTTAGAAATTGCTTGACTTTTTTATTTTTTCTTATTTAAATATATATATATATATATATATAATTATAAGATGCTTGAAAATGGCATGTTTTGTACGTTTCAGTAGCAGCTCTAAAATTCACACTTGTGTAGTTACTATTGTGTGGTAGCAATTCAATTCCTAAAGAAACTGGGGTTTTTACCTCGAGGGCCTAGTTTGCTAAGGATATCTATTGCGAGCTACTTATGTTTAAAATTTTTTTGTTCTGCTTGTAGGAGAGGAAAGAGAAGCTTGGTGAACGGATTGTAGCTTTGCAACAGCTTGTTTCGCCATATGGAAAGGTACACAGAACAAATTAATCCTTTTCCTTAATTGCGAAACTGTTGAAGAATGATCTACAATGGTGGCATTACGACATTAATGGTTTCCTATTAACTCATCTCATGGTGTTTAGAATTCTTGGGTCCACCCATCATGCACTTCAGGCATCACCACAAAGTGAATATCATCTGATAGAGATTGCTTATGCTATATTTACTGTAGATAGGTTTCCAATGCCAACAGTTTATTCCTAGAAAAAAAAAGTTGTTTATATATTCTGTGTGTGTCTAAAGTCCTATTATTGTACTGCACTGCAGACAGACACAGCTTCAGTTCTGCTGGAGGCAATGGATTATATACGCTTCCTTCATGAACAAGTTAAGGTTAGCCTTTTCATTCTTCTTATAAGTGAACGCCTTCCCTAGTACCCAACTTCATAACTGGTAACGGGTATTACATAGACTGGATTTTGTTATATGGTATTGCCAACTTCAGATGTAATCTGGTATAAGACATAATTCTGCATGGTTGATATTGTGATATGAATGAGACACTTCCTTTTTAAAGATTGCCTCTAAGTGAAAATAAGAACAGTCAAGATACGTTTTATTTTTTATTTTTTGTTTCTTTGGCCTGTAAGATATTTGTTTTTTTGTTCTGCAAAAACAATCAAGATGAGTAACTTCAATCTTGCCTTGTTTGTATTATTTGAGTAATGAGAAGTGATAGGGCTTGCTGTTCAAAACTAATGATGCAAATATTTGAAATGTTTTACTTTTGAGAGATGCGTCCTCTGTATAAATTGCTTGATAAGGTTGATTTGACTTTCTTGCTGGTGGATTTAGGTGTTGAGCGCTCCATACCTTGAAAGCACACCAACAGCTAAGATGCAGGTGAGCTTGAGCTGGATGTAGATATAAGCAAGAGCAAAATGTCAATGATATTTCAAAGTTTGTTTGGAGAACTGATGAATTACATTAATTGAATGTAACCATGTCATAATGAAGACATCACTAAGCTGCCATGTCCTACGTGTGTTGTTGGATAAAAGCAAAGTGATGTGACCTAGTGTGCATGGGTCAAAGATGCCCCTCTTTTCACACATTAGTACCATTTAATTTGGCATAATTGGTTTAAATTTACGGTGAAAATGTAATGCGGTTCATTAATTTTCTTTCATCAGGAATTAGAGCCATACAGCTTGAGAAGCAGAGGTCTGTGCCTTGTTCCTGTCTCTTGTACTGCCGGAGTTGCTCAAAGTAATGGTGCAGATATCTGGGCCCCCATTAAGAATACTTCCCCCAAGTTTGAGAACGCTATCTCACAATTCCATTGATACAGATCAATGCTCAGCTACCAAAATGGTCTTGAAGATGCATGCCAGATTGAGGCGGTGTAAAGGGTAACCAATTTCGTTTCTAAAGCACAACCCATTTTTTGTGAGGCAGATTCGGATTCAGTAACAGAAATTTTTAGCATGACGCCCTTCAATGTAATTCTGTGATTGAATGTAGTCATGCTTGAACTCCATCTAATGCAGGCCCCAACCATTCTGGTTTTTAACTGGTGGTGGGATAAGCTTCTAGTACGGTACTTCGATTGTATACTTAAATGAATCTACAAAATGTATATTTATAAACTTGTGTTGTACAATGATTCTGACCATGAATTAATGAATATATGGTGGGGAATATGATGGTATGATTTATAGCGTATGCCTTCTCAATTGCGTTTTAATGGGTCTTAAGACCTTATTGCAACTTACCTTGTACTTGGCTCTGCTCTCAGAGAGGGAGAGAAGTCCTTCCTCACGCATTGGCGCAATCTTCCATGTTAGCATTAAGTAAACGTGATCAGGCTGTGTATCTGATGGTGCTTTGGCAACTCGGCAAGAAGCCTTGAAAATTTTGGCCTATCTACGATAGGGTGGAAAGTTATAGATCAGGTCTATGCATCCCTGACATACTACCAAGGCTAATCTTATATTAGAAGTCTTAAATTCTTCAATTATCATTGCATTATCGAATTAACACATTAGTTAAATATATACAAATTCTACACATTTATATTGGTTGGGTATGGGTTAAAATAATTATTGCTTGTTAGATAATCTTCTATTATATTATATCAAGCTGACCAAATGACTCATCCCACCATATGATGATGTTGGCTAAATTTTGGGCTCGATCCGAAATCAATTGGGTCAAAGATGTTTGTCACTTCAAGTTCGTATCAAGTTTGTACAGTAAATGTAATGGTTAGAAGATTGCATAGTTTTAGTGATTGGATTTCTCTAAAACAATGCAATCTTCCAACCACTCCATTTGCGGTACGAACTTCTTACGAACTTAAAGTGGCCAACTTCTGTGACCAATTGATTTAGGATTGAACCTAAAACTTGGGCAACATGATAATCTGTCATGACTATCCAAGTTAAATAGAACTGTTTTGGATAATATATTGAGTTGGAATTGCAATGCAATTCAGTTATTTTATAGAACAATACCTTGTGTCACATTATTAGGAAATGCGCATCTCATGTCAAATCCCTAATGTTACTAATGATCCTATAATTCTTATGAATGAGATTAGAAAGTTCTTTTCATAATCCTATTTAATACTTTGGCTAAAGATTTCCTGAATAATATTTTTACAGTATTGTCGCGTTTATTAAGAGTAGAGATCTCTTGTTGTACATTCATATGTCTTTCTATGAACTAATTGAAAATCTCGATAATGCCTTCGAGTCATATATCTTGATATAAGCGTATAACATTCTCAAAGACAAGCTACGTGTTCGTAAGACAATAATGATGTCTCAAGTTTGAGTACTAACTTGCATTAATTGCAACTTAGAATTTTTATTTGACATGTGACTAAAATTTCCATACAAGAATTATTGGTCGATCGCATTCAGTGGACTCAATCCCCATTGAACACCTACACACTTGTCTTAGTGTCTTTACGTGAATGAATTGGGACTAATCACCCTATCGATTGAGCAGACATAGTGTGTACCAATCTTTATGGATTAAGACCGAACTAATGTAGAACATATGGCTGAACAGATCGAGGAGCAACTGTACAGTGAATGCATCGTCAAGTAGGACGATCCAGTCCATGCATATTTGGGTTTCGATCTCAGAATTAGGCTCATGACCTGTCGTTTTGAAGAGAACAATGAGCATTTCTTTACGGTTACATATTTTTGGCCAAATTCCAACATTTTCTTTGTCTTTACAGCATTTTAAGTTTCAAGGATAATTTGAGAATTTTGTTAATTTCCATTTTTACTTCCAATTAGGGTTTCCTAGCAAGCCTAGGATTGTTAAGTATAAAAGGGACACATTAGCGTGTCTTTGGATTATTATTCATATTTTGATTCAATAAAACTTGAGGTATTACTTAAACTCCAGATGGAATCCAAATTACTGGTGAATTCCGAAGTTGTTGTTAGGAGTTATCATTTGATTTCCGTCCTCTTTATTACATTATGTCATTAGATGTGTTCTTTGTAAAGCATTGACAGAGACTGTATATCGTGTTAGCTTTAGTTTGATGCTTATAACAAAGTTTTTTTTTACATTATTGTTTATTCTTATAACAAGAACACAACTATAAAAACTATTTCAACCCATATTTCACTGACTGGGCGGCTCAATATAATGGTGCCACTAGCGTATGATTAAGTGAACATGGGATGGCAGGTCTAGTCCAGTAGAAAAGGGCATTGCCTTGCAAATCAGAAATCTCAAGTTCAAATTCCCACAACCTCATAGTTGTGTGTACGAGAATCTCCCTTATAGTTTAGATTGTTGCTTGTACTTAAAAAAACAAAAGTGAACATGGGATGGATGATTAGAGCATTTATAGAACTTTAAATTCCATATGTTCAGGTTGTATCTTTTTAAATTCCATGCTTAGCAAGAAATTTTTACCAACATTAACTTCCATTTTGAATTCTTTTGTACTTTTATTGTTAATGGCCCTGAAAGCCTAAACTACCCCATGTCCCACACACATAATCCAAGCATGATTTTTCTTTCGCAAGGCCTGATGGGAAAACCACAATCTTGAAATCCACCCAAAATTAAAAGCCTTAATCGTCAAAATAAAACACCATGTACCACACACGACAACCCAAGCATGATTTTAAATTAATCGTCAAAATGAAATTAAAAAAAGAAAAAGAAAAAGAAAAAGAGAGACCGATGAGGTTAAGGAGATGATCGACTTGATTTAAAACCCCATAAGAAAGAACTTGATTTAAAAACCAAGAAGAATAATATTGGAAATTTAAAAGAACTAGACTCAAATCCCAGAAGAAGAGAAACTTGATTTGTGGGAAGTACCCTCAGCAAAAGACGACGTATGAGGAGGCAAGTTTTGAACGAAAGTCAAGAAAATCCAAGCACAGAAGAAACAAGCAGAGAATCAGGATATCTAAGTTTTAGTTTCATACAAGAGAGGTTATTTATCCATCCCTACAACCTGTATTAGGAGAGAGGAATTTGATATCCAATAACTGGCATAATACAAGAAAATCACCATAAGACCAAGACTTAGCTACCATGTCTAAAGGGCATGTCTTTTAACACAGAACTAATATCATGCAATTGCCTGACATCCCTGGGTGATCTCTATAATATTAATGTTAGAAGATCCAAATCCTATAGATTCATCACACCATTTACGTATAAAGTAAGAATTATCGGTGCAACTGTAAGAAATCTTCCGAGTCTATATACATGCATTTGCAAAATAACTTAATACTCATCTCTGGAATAAATACACAAGGTTAAAATTTTCAAACGTTCGTATTTTCTCTAGACAAAAGGGGTTACTACTACCATATTGCCAATAAATTCAAACTATGTTTAAGCGATGCAAGCATTCCAATTAAGTTTGAGCAAAGTTGCCCCCGACCCCTTAAAGCAATAAGCCACAGTCAGGTCATGTCAAGTTTATTGTATCAAGATTCAAGAATGCACACACAGCAAGCAAAAAAGGAAGAAGATTCATTTGTCCAGTACCACAGTTCTTTTAGAAATACATGACAGTTAAGATACAGATTAAGGCAGTGACAGAGGATTAGAAGCATTCAGATTGCTGAAGCACGCTTTACCTTCCCTTGCAGAAACTGCAGTATATGTTCACGCTTCCAATTGTCAATCCTGTGATAGAGATAAAAAAAGGATATTTGTAATAAGTAGGAAACTGAATTTTCCCCATAGAGGGTACAAATGGAGATTAAAATTCTAACCAAACTAGGTATCATTATTCCTTACTAAAACCTAAGCAATGGCTATAGATTCTTATTGTTACCAGATTCCAGATTTACACACAGGTTTAGGCAGCATTCATGTTGGGATAAAGGTATCATCATGCAAAAACAATAAAAAACACAAAAGCTGTAACTCAAATGGGGCTGTCCAAACTATGAGAAACCCACGAGAAAGAAAATGGGAGGGCATATGTCCACGGCTCCTATGTGAATGGCAAATAGACGCTCACCTTATTGTTTCCTTGTGTTCATCTGCATCATCTAGCAAGATCAACTTTGGTGGAGAGTTGAAAATGTATTGAACTTTGACCGAAGGAAACCGATCCTTCTCTTCTTCAATGAAGCCAACGATTTCCGGATAGAATACCAGTTTCCTCATGCAGACCTCCAGAATGGCACCAGAATAGGTAACCTGTATTTGCAGTCACATTAAGCATTTCCTTTTCTGTTCAATAAAGGGTCAGTAGATTGAAGTCTTGGATGGTAATTACAATTTGCAGAATTATGTTATGTGAAGAGATAAATATAATTTTTATAATATACTACAAGTCATGATTAAAATTCTCAAAACATCCAAAGTGGCCCCAACTTTCCAATAGTGCTTGTCCACCAAATCTTGACACATTTTTAAAAAATTATCTTGCAAAAAGAAAACTTTATCACTATTTCTTTGATCTAAATAGTTCTGACATGAAAATAGCAATTCTCATGGAACCATAAATTGTGGAATTAAAGAATTCTAATACTACACTTTTATTATTATTATCTTTTATTTCAAAGGAACCCTAAAATTTGTTTAATTGTACTAGTATATGAAGTTTTTTGCTAAGGGAATTTATAAAATGGTTATAGAGGAATGGTGCAGATCAGCAAAGATTGATTTACAATCTATAATTATGAAATCCCATATGTACAAAGGCATATTTCAGAGCGAGTCAGCAGGCCAGAAGTTTCAAACAGGCATGTACCACCCTAAAGGCACACGTTAAGCACCAATTTCCCAGCATAATGAAAACAAGATTAAACTGAGGGCAAAAGAACAAACTGCTGGTCATCCAAGAACGTACATGACCAGAACTCAAGTGTAGACACATTAAAAAGTTTCCAAATGCTAACTTAAGAATCACACTCTTTGGCTGACACCACACAGTATCCCATTTACTTTAGCTATTTCATTCTGGATGCAGGTTAGTCATGTCATTTAATAAACTTTGTGTGGAAATTGTTCGACATATTTTTATGGAACACATTAACTTCTAGTCACCCCCTACCCATGTGCCCATGTCTATGTAATAAACTATGCCACATTTTACAGGTTAGACTTACTTTTTGCAACCAAAAATAATAAAAATGGAAGGAAATGTTCTAATTACACCTTTCAGAGTCGCACAGAGTATACGAGCTAGGATTAAAATATAATTTCAAACTTAACATATACCTTGCGGATGGATATCTATCAGAATCCTAGGTCATGCCCCAACACTTCCTACGAGGTCTCGATACAAATCAACTCTGCCAATCAAACACTAGAGGACTGCAGTTAGATTCATAAAATATATCAATCATCGAGCTGGAAATGTAATATTCAAGAGGGTTTATATCAATTACGCCCTAACCTTGCTTAGCAGTTAACATAGTATAAATAAGCACCACGTTGCATTCAACCTGTATGATTTAGCCAGGGATTGCATTTGCTATATAATGCAGCACCAGCTTACAATTGACCTCAATGTTTCCAGTAAACATTATTACATTGTTTCGCCTGAACACCGATCGCATGTGTTCTACATGTTCGTTTCCTTTGTGTAGCTGTTGAAGTTAATGTTATTTCCTTAGACAGCCTTTTGTTAGTTCTAGTTGTCATTTAGTACAAGGTACTTTTCGGTACTAAAATGTATTTCAAGTCAACGGGCCCCCCTAAGTATAGCAATCTGCCTTGATCCCTAGTTAATATGTTATGCTATGTCTAAGTTTCTACAATTGAAATTGAGCAAATGCCAAAAGTAGCCACTACCAAGAAAAATGGACACTATAAAGATCCAAATTCCCATGAAGTCCAATGATGGCATCCAAATTTCTATGAAAATGATACCCTTAATATGGGGAACAAAAGAGACTCTGAGCTGGGGATAGTATCAGGTAAATGGGTGTCTCTGAAACCCCACAAAGCTCCCAATTTTAAATCATGCAAACAAGTTTACTCCATAATTCCAAAGCCCGTCAATAACCCACAAATAACGCAGCTTGACACAACAACAAAAAAATACAAAATGAGGAAGTGCAAGCAGTTAATGGGATTACAAAGATCTCATAGCAAGTAAAAGTTAAAACAAACCAATGCAGAAAGGCAAGACTGGAACAGGATTATAAGGATGTTGGAAGGAGGACGGATAGAGGATGGAAATTTTGATGGGTTACCTTGGTCTTTTTAACGTACTCTAGCCAAACTGGTACAATCCGAGCACATGACGCAAGCCCTTTGTGAAGCCAAGTATTAGTCACATCCCTAGTGTCAGTATGCTCTTTCGATGCGCAGGAAAGGTAATACCACCCCAACACCATCCAACATAGCGATCAAAAAAAGAGGCTCCCAATCTCTACAAGTCTGTCTTTCTTCAGAGGTAGGAGATCTCAGGGTAACTCAGTAGGCTCAGAGCACAAAACCTTGGTGTGCGAAGTATAGAGTAGACCGTTTTGGGCCTTTGTTTGGTGTTTGGGCTTCAGCATCGCAGCCAGTACCGTTGACACACTATTGGGCCACATTGACGTCCACACGCTTATAACCCAACACACTTCTGAACACGTGACACGTGTCTATAAGCTATAACATGGTTCCACAAAAAAATCCCAAGCAAAAAGTTCAACTAATGACTATATCGAAAAGAAGTATTGTTGAAAATGTAAATTCTTTCCGGGTGTACTTTTAGGTAGACAAGTGTAAGCTAGCACAGACTCTCAATGGTGTATCGATAGACTCATATGTCTTAGATTTGGGGCCAAGGCTCAGTGTCGAGCTTATATTGCCTGACCCATTTTATGGCTGACGATACATTCTTGAACATGGTAAAAGAGATCGTTTATGTTGAAGCATCAAAGCGCACACACTAGGTTTGTGCTCAGTGGTCAAAAACTCTTCTCTCTCTTTTCTCCTCAATGTCTCTATTTCGGGACTTTGCAACCTTTATTTTCCTCTCTATATTCCCTTTTTCCCAAAATCATAAAAACTTATGTGAATATGGAATATTCAACAAAGAGTATCAGAGCCAGGTTCGACTCTGGCATCTGGGCGTCATGAACCGCAATCGGAATAGAGGCAATCAACGCAGATAACCTATATCTCGTGGGTTTGGTCTAAGATGGCTGGATCTGGAAGATGTGCGCTTCGTGCTTTATTTTCAATGGCAATAACTAGATTTTTGGAGAATCAAGAGCTGTACGATTTTCACATCTCACAAGCTTTGGGACTATGGTCGAAAGGGGTTTGAACAAGTTTGTGAAGAGAGGAGGATAGTGAAGCTCTGACTATAGCTCAGAAGCTTGCACATGAAGGAAATGTATGCAAAGACGCTAAGGTGTCTGGGTTTGGCTTCAAAGTGCCGTCTAGATGAAATTAGTAGCCCAGATATCGCTCTACAAGAAGCTGCCAAAGACAGCTTGGGAGATTTTGTAATAGGAAATTTCGAGGAGATAAGTGTATGCTCTGTAAAAATTGCAAGCACTAGAAGGGATTTTGAATATACCGCACTGCAAGATGAGGAATCTCTCATCGGCATATAAAACCAAAATTGCTTGAGCTTGAAATCAAATGAAGTCTTTATGAAAGAGGAATTCTGATCAAAGAAGCGCCAGAAGAACTTTTGATTAGTCTATCTAGAGAAAGATTCGATGCACAGAGGTGATAGCGGAGCTAAAGTTACATAGACTATAAGGAGTTCAGGAGGTTATTAGCTCTTTGCAAATCCAAAAGGAATACCGGTGGCAAAGGCACACTGAGAAACTGACAGAAACGGTTTCTCATAGGTAAGTGTGAACCCCAGAGAGCAGTCAAATGTTGCACCAAGATGGGAGTCTAAGTCCAAGGCGAATTGGGAAATCACAAAACAGAGAAAATGGATAGGGGAAGTCAGATCCTGTTCAAAAAGGAAACTCAAGAATGACGGAGCAAAGGGACCTTGTAACTTGTGTAAACTGCATTATGGCCTTGTTGGTCAAGGCATACCCCGATAAATGCTTTAAGTGTGAAAAGGTGTGTGTCACTTTATGGCAATGAAGGAGTGATTTTGCAGTGGGGAAGAACGAAGAACATCAGTGACAGCTCAGGATGCAAAAACACATGGCGGAGAATGGACCAATGCAGTTACTATGACTTGTCATGTTGCCTCTGCAATCAAGAACAGTAGTGTGCTAGGATATGTGCTAGCAGCTATGTGAGTAAACCACATGACCTCACCATGGAATCTGTCGCTGTCATGTGAATATACGACACCATATGTCACTGGCAAACTTGTAAGATGGGGAAAAAAAAAAAAAAAAAAAAAAAAAAAAAAAAAAAAAAAAAAAAAAAAAAAAAAAAAAAAAAAAAAAAAAAAAAAAAAAAAAAAAAAAAAAAAAAAAAAAAAAAAAAAAAAAAAAAAAAAAAAAAAAAAAAAAAAAAAAAAAAAAAAAAAAAAAAAAAAAAAAAAAAAAAAAAAAAAAAAAAAAAAAAAAAAAAAAAAAAAAAAAAAAAAAAAAAAAAAAAAAAAAAAAAAAAAAAAAAAAAAAAAAAAAAAAAAAAAAAAAAAAAAAAAAAAAAAAAAAAAAAAAAAAAAAAAAAAAAAAAAAAAAAAAAAAAAAAAAAAAAAAAAAAAAAAAAAAAAAAAAAAAAAAAAAAAAAAAAAAAAAAAAAAAAAAAAAAAAAAAAAAAAAAAATCCTTGCCGCTTTGTAAGTTCAGTTCCAATTTATATTACTTGGTACTAAACATATTTCAAGTGCAAGGTCATTATAGTGTTTGGCCTCTATAATATGTAGTGCTAATTTCTACCAATTGAAATTGAGATGCCAAAAGTAGCCAACTCCAAGAAAAATGGACACTCTAAAGATCCAAATTCCCATGAAAGTCAATGATGGCATCCTAAATTTCTATGAAATCCCTTAATATGGAAAAAAGAGACTCCTGTACTGATTATCAGTAATGGGTGTCTCTGAAACCCCAAAAAGCTCCTTTTAAATCAAGCAAAACAATTTAGCCATAATCCTCAAGCCCGTCAAACCCACAAATACGCAGCGACCAACAAAAAAATAAAAATGAAGTGCGGGAAATTGGGATTACAAGATAGCTAGCAAGTAGAGTTAAAACAAACAAATGCGAAAAGACATGGAACCAGGATTTAGTGTTGAGAAGAGAGAGAGAGATGGAAATTTTGATGGGTTACCTTGGTCTTAACGTACTCACCAAACTGTTACAATCCGAGCACAAGCAAGCCCGGTGAAGCCAAGATTCTCACATTCCTAGTGCTCAGCGGCTCTTTCGAGCGCCTAAAGGTACTACCACCCCCAACACCACAACATAGCGATCAGGCTCCATCTCTACAAGTTCGTTCTTCTCAGAGGTCAGGAGATCAGGACCAGATCTCGAGCACAAAACATTGGTGTGCGAAGTAAGAGTAGACCGTTTGGGCCTTGTTTTTGGTGTTTGGGCTTTCAGCATCGCAGCACAGTACCGTTGAAATATTGGCATTTTGCTCACCACTTTAACCCAACACCCTTCTGACACTTGACACGTGTCTAAGATATAATCATGGTTCCAAAATACAAAGCAAAAAGTTAACTATGACTACTAAGACACGCAAGTATGTTGAAATGTAATTCTCTAACTGGTTTACTTTAGGTAGACAAGTGGTAAGGCTTAGATTAGATCTCATGGGATCTATAGACTCATAGTCTTAGATTGTGCCAGTGTCGAGCTTAATATTGCTGACCCATTTTTTTTTGGCTGTGAGATAACATTCTCTGCCTTGAAAAGAGAATGGTTTTGTAGAATGCATCAGAGCGCACAACTATGTTTTGTGCTCGTTGGCAAACTCTCTCTCTCTTTTCTCTCAATGTCTCTATCGACTTTGCAACCTTTCATTTCCTCTCTATATTCCTCTTCCCAAAATCAACTATATGAATCTCAACATGGTATCAGAGCCGTTCGCTCTGCATCTGGGCGTCATGAAACGAAATCGGAATAGAGGAAATCCAACGCAGAGAACCTATATGCGTGGGTTTGGTCTCATATGCTGGATCTGGAATGAGTGAGCTTCGGCTTTCATTTTCAAGGGCAATAACTACGATTTTGGAGAATCAAGATGGTACGTTTCAAATCTCACAAGCTTGGGATATGGTAGAACTGGTTTGAAACAACTAGTGAAGGAAGGAGGATATGAAGCTCTGACTATAGCTCAGAACTTGCACTGAAGGAAAAATGTAGCAAAGGACGCTAAGGTGTTGGGTTGATTCAAAGTGCGTCTCTGATGAAATTTTTTCCAGAATCGCTCTACAAGAATCTGCCAAAGCAGCTTGGGAGATTTTGTAATAGGAATTTCGAGAGATATAGATGGTATGATCTGTAAAATTGCAAGCACTTAGAAGGGATTTTGAATATTACTCGCATGCAAGATGATGAATCTCTCTGGCTATATACCAAATTGCTTGAGCTTGTAAATCAAATGAAGTCCTTATGAGAGGATATTCCTGATCAAAGAATCGCCACAGAAACTTTTGATTAGTCTATCTAGAGAATATGATTCTATTGCCGAGGTGATAGCGGAGACTAAAGACATAGAGACTATAGGAGTTCAGGAGGTTATTCGCTCTGAAATCCATGAATAACGGTTGCAAAGGCACACTGAGAAACTGACAGAAAGGCTTTCTCTAGCGTAAGTGTGAACCCCAGAGAGCAGTCAAATGTTGCACAGATGGGAGTTCTAAGTCAAGAAGAATTGGGAAATCACAAAACAAGAGAAATGGAGGGGAAGTCTGGAACTACGTTCACAAAGGAAAATCAGAATGAAGGAGCAAGGGTCCTTGTAAATTGTGATAACTGCATTATGGTCCTTGTTGGTTCAAAGGCAAACCTAAATGCTTTAAGTGTGAAAGTTTGGTCACTTGGCAAAGGATTGCAGTGGGAAGCCACCTCAGGCAGCTCATTAGTCAAACACATGGAGAAGAATGGACAATGTTCTATGCTTGTCATGTTGCCTCTGCAATCAAGAACAGTAGGTGTGGTATGTGGATAGTGCTTGTAGTACCACATGACCTCACATGAATCTCTGCTCATTGATATAGACACCAATGTCACTGCAAATTGAAGATGGGAGCTGGAGATCTTGTTCAAGCCATTGTAAAGGCACTCTAATGATTGAAACGAAATCGGACCAAGGCATATAAAGGAAGTCATGCTTGTACCAGGGTGGATGAGAATCTGCTTAGTGTTGGACAGATGATTGAGCTGGATATTTCTTGCTCTTTGATGATTATATAGTGGAGATATATGATGACAAGTCACTGAAACACCTTGTGACTAAGTTCCAATGACTGGAAACAGATGTTTTCCTCTCTCCATTCAGTATGCAAATGCAGTAGCTATGAAGGCAACATTCAAAGGAACTACTTGGTGTTGGCACAGAAGATATGGTCACCTCAATCTTCAAAACTTGAAGTTACTGCAACAAAAGGAATTGGTTTATGGACTGCTAGAGATTGGTAACTTCGAGAAGGTGTGTCAAGGTTGTGCAATGGGAAAATCACACAGAGAGGCATTCGATAAAGAGAAGGTGTGGAGAGCAAGCATGCCACTAGAGCTCATACATTCAGATGTGTGTGGACCAATGCAATCCACAACCATTGGAGGTACATATACTTCCTAACCTTCATTGATGATTGCCAAGATGTGTGGGTATACTTCATGCAACACAAGTCTGAAGTATTCAACATCTTCAAGAAATTCAAAGCCAGGGGGATTATAGAGTGGATCAAGATTAAAAGGCTTAGAAGTGACAAAGGTGGGGAGTACCCTCAACTGAATTCTTGAAGTTTTGTAAGGATGTAGGATTGGAAAGGTAGTTAACTGTAGCCTATTCACCTCAGCAAAATGGGGTAGTTAAAGAAAAATAGAATTATTGTGGAAATGAGTAAAGCAATGATGCATGAGAAGAGGCAGTGAACATGGCTGTCTAATTCAAAACCGATGTCCAACAAGAGCTCTAAATGTTTCAACTCCATTTGAAGAATTTAGTGGTAGGAACCTGGAATTAAGCACCTTAGGGTATTTGGCTCTATTGTTACTGTCATGTGCCTAGTCAGTTGAGGCTCAAATTGGATGATTCGGCAACCAAGTGTATCTTTGTTGGTTATGGTAAGTGTGAGAAGGGCTATAGAGTTTACAACTTGCAAACTCACAAAATTGTTGTTTCTAGGAGTGTAATATTTGATGAAGATGCATTATGGGATTGGGGAAAAACAGAATGTGGAGCATGTTTCTGTTCCTATAAGTTTTGAGGAAAATCCTGAACCACTAAAGAAGAGGATGAAGTCACAGTTCACCTACAACAGTATCTCAGATGAAAGTGGCTTAGGTTCAACTAGTGCCAGTTCACAAAGTGCATCACCAATTCTACTCATGTGAAGCTAAGAGATATAGCTGAGATATATGCTAGATGCAATATGAGCATCATTGAGCCAGAAATTATGAAGAAGCTTCAAAGATAAAGCTTGGCAGAAAGCTGTGGAGGTTGAAACGGAGATGATTGATAAAAATAAGACATGGGAATTGGTAAACAGACCAATGGAGAAGCCAATAATTGGTGTTAAATGGGTTTATAAAACTAAGTTGAATCTTGATGGTTCAATACAGAAACACAAAGCTAGGCTGGTGGTCAAAGGTTATGCACAAAAGCCTGGAATTGACTTCAATGAAACTTTTGCTCATGTTGCCAGATTATACACCATTAGAACTCTTATTGCATTGGCAATTCAAAAGGGGTGGAAGCTGTATCAATTGGATGTCAAGTCTGCTTTTCTAAATGGTGTGCTTAAGGAAGAAGTATATGTGGACTAGCAAGATGGTTTTGTGATTAAGAACTCTGAAGACAAAGTGTACAAACTAAGAAAGCTCTGTATGGTCAAACAGGCGCCAAGAGCATGGTATGAGGAAATAAACTCGTATCTTATTGACTGCGGTTATACAAGGAGCTTTATGAAGCAACTCTCTATTGCAAGACGAAGGAAACTCTGAACACTCATTGTATCGATTTATGTTGATGATATAGTGTATACAGGAAGCAATGCAGAATTGACCGCAGGGCTACACTAGGTGCATCACATTCAGGAACATCTGATCCCTAACTCCAATATAGTTGGCTCATCTCCAGGCTGTCAAACATATAGAGTTAACAGGTCATATACAATACTAAACAGCTTTCCCATGAAACCAACATACTATTGAAATAAATTATTAACTACACACCTGTTTGCTTTGAAATATATAAGCGTTCAGCTTTCTCAACTTAGACACTTTATCTGTGGATTCCCACCGGCAAATTCAAGGGACTAATGCAGGTTCCTCAATCCGCTTACAATATATAGGGGAATTCCCAATTCAACAATTAATTCATATGCCCAAATCTACAACAAATAGATTATCAAAGTTAGTACTTAATTATGAACTACAATTTTACAAACACTAATTTTGAACTAAATCATAACTAGAAAGCATAGCTCAATCCCTTTATATCCTATGCAAGTCTGTTAATTCTTTTACGCTTCTCACCCTCCACGTTTTTCTTCCCTTTTCTCACTGAACTCTGCACCGCCTTTTTCCCTTTTTCTGTCCCCTTCCCATCATTGTCTTCATCACTCTCTTCTTCTCGGGAGCAAACAATAGAGAATCTTGCAGACACTCAAACGATATAGATCCCCACAGATATTTGTTGAATTCATCCATTTTATGAACCAAATGTAAGTAGTCCTCATTTATCTTTACATTTTGGGGGTTACCCATTATCACGAACTCCACAAAATACAGCAGTCCCAACTTGAATGAGTCCTCTTTCGAACTTTAGGAATGCATTTTCTAAGTTATGGCAAGTAATGTGACTCTTGTTCGTAAAGTGCGTTTTCATAAATCAATTACGAGCATCCCCCCGGACGTTATATCAGGCTCTGTTCCACATTCAAACCATTTATCAAACAAAAATCCTTTACACTGAATTGAGCAACGTTGGGCCTTATTGCATAACTAAGGCCTAGCATGTCCTTTATTGAAGGCCAAAGAGAAAGAGCACCAAGAGTTAGTATTCTCAAATACGCCTCACTTTGGGGTTTTCTCCCGTACATATACAACATTGTTGTGCTGATACCAAAAGCACTCCCAACACTTCTACTTCACATTACTTGCACACCAGATCACTTCCATTTACACATCACATGCACACTAAAAAAGCAAGATTTCACATGCGCTACAATAAAAAACATTCAAAAAGAGTGAAACAACACACTACAAAGATGACTTATCTTCAGTGGAGTCATTTTTGTCTTTTTGAAAATATGCAAGACGGTTTTAAGAGTGGCTTGTATTTTAGGGACTTTTTTTAATCTCCTCAAAAGAAAATTCACAGTTAAAATACAATGTCGACTGTTGTGATAAAATTGTTGGGTGGTAATGAAAACTCCCTAGGAAATATTTTTGCTCAGCACTTTAATTCAATGTGTATTTTTATTATCCTTCTAAATACTTGTTGAGATTTCTATATCAGGTTATGATTTCGGGAAGAAAAGGAATATAGAAAGGAAAATGAAAGGTTGTAGAGTCGAATAGAGACATTGAGGAGAAAAGAGAGAGAGAGTTTGTTAACCAGCACAAAACATAACTGTGTGCTCTGATGCATTCTAATGGAAACATTCTCTTTTGCAAGGCAGAAAATGTTATCTCAGCCATACAAAATGTGCCAGCAATATATGCTTGACACTTGGCACAAATCTAAGACATATGAGTCAATCACCATGAGATCTAATCTAAGCCTTACACTTGTCTAGCTAAAGAGTAAACCAGTAAAGAATTTACATTTCAACATTCCCTTCTAAATTGTTAATTAGTTTAACTCCCAACAATCCTCTCAAATAGTTGAATCGATCCTTTGGTAGTGCCTTTGTGAATATATCAGCTACCTGCTCCTCAGACTTGCACTATCTCAAGTCTACAACTCCTTCTTGCAAAGCTTCATGAATGAAGTGGTATTTGCAATTGATATGTTTGGTCTTTTGATGGAAACTAGATTCCTTGTCAATGTAATGGCAGAGGTGTTATCTATCATTAATAGAGTTGCCTCTGCCTGCAATTCTCCAAAGTTTTCAAGCACAAACCTCAACCATATAACTTGAGTAGTTGCTTCACATGCACTAACATATTCAGCTTCAGCCGTGGAGAGAGCAACATTGTGTTGCTTGACAGATGCCCAAGAGAACACTCCACTTCCAAATGAGAAAGCATATCCAGAAGTGCTCTTCATGTCATCTTGACTCCCACTCTAGTCACTATCACAATATCCAATTAACACAGCCTCTTTTCCCTTCTGATATTCAATGCAATAATCGATAGTTCCTTGTATGTACCTCAAGACCCTCTTAGCTATTCCATAATGCTTCTTGGTAGGACAATGCATAAATCTAGCTAGTAAGCTAGCTGCAAACATTATATCTGGCCTTGTGGCTGTTAGGTACAACAAGCTCCCCTCAATCTGCCTATATTCATTCTCATCAGTAGGTTCACTGCCATCATCTTTACATAGTTGTTCACTTGCCACCAAGGGAATGCTAACAGACTTTCATTGCTTTAAGCCAAACTTGCTTTAATGTAGTTTGTTTTTTTGTATCTTCGAATGGAAGTCATGCAATACGTGTGTAACACTTCATAATTATCGAATAAAACAGTGTCTTTAGACGGTTTCACTATTTATGTGCTTAATAAACCATAGTTTAGTATCAAGTGCATGAGGCATTTACCTAAGATTCACTAATGCTTCCAGATACTTTAAAAAATGACGCAAATAGGTATCAATAAATGTTCAAACTCCAGCACCGTATATGAAATCAAGCTCTTGCATAAATGACTCTGTCATAGTAGGTTCACTGTCCTGCGTCCTCTGAGTGGGTTGTAATTCTCAGAAACTGGAGCACCAACTTCTGCGTCGGAAGATGAAGAGTTGCCACATCAGAAAAAAATAAAAATAAAAATTAAACAACAACATAAAATTCAAAGCACAATATAAGACATATTCACTTACGGGCTCACAAGTTTTGGACAACTCCGTCTATCATGATCAATCTTCCTACATTCAATGCACCGACGTTTATGTCATTTTGTTGCCTTCTCTTTTTGTCGTTTAACTCTTTTCACACGGCCTTTTACTTTGACTTGATGTGGATATTTGATTCTCATTTGGGGAGAACTAGCAAAGACCTCTTCATCGGGTTCTTCTTCGACATGAGCTCTTGATGACACCAACCTTGTAAGCTTCCCACGAATGTCGTTAAAAGATTTTTCCAGCAACTCAAAACCTTCATCACAAAACAAAGCCGAATCAATCAAATCACTTGCAACTTTGCAAACTTTCGATCTTTTAACCAAAAGCAAACCATCAACGCAATCTTTAACTTCTTTGTCATTCTTATCATATACTACACCGCATTTTGCACTTTGAAGCCATCGTTTCAATATGTACTTGTCTGGAAAGTACTCAACCTGCTTCGTTATGAAGAATGCTAGGATGTGTCGGCACAGAACACCCCAAAATTCAAATCATTTGCAGCTGCAATAAGCTTTATTGGCATCTTTATCATGCACAAGCTCCTTCATCCGTGTCACCCCCGGATTTACCCGCTCACTTACTTTGTATCTGCATTAGGTCTCATCTTGCTCTACAAGTTCAAACAAGCATAAAAGACTTATGAAGTTTTCCCTCTCAAACATTTCAAGAATTGCTCGAGTGTAAATGCGTGTCATTTGATGTTGAATTGCCCGAGGTTTTTCACTGTTATCAACATGATTAGCCATTAACTCCTTGTGTCTCTGTGAACTAAGAGCTCTTTCAAAGTGTACAATGAATTCCATCAATGTGTTTTTCCGGTTAATATATTGTTTGAAAAATGAATGACAGCTTTTGGCCCGTTGACTACTTGACATCCCAGCCGAAAACACATGTTTTACATATGATGGAACCCAATTCTCTGGCGAAGCATGAATTGAGCTCAACCACGGATGGTCTTTTAGCCCATTGTTTGTGATGATTTCCTCCCATTTCGCATCAAATTCTTTTTTGGTGTCCATACCCCATATGCATTTGTACATTTCCGAAAAACATTCTCCAATGTCGGGTTTCTCCATAAACTTATTCAAGATATGCCATATGCAATATCTATGGAATGTTATCGGGAGAGTTACAGCAATTGCCTTTGACATGACTACATCTTGATCAGTGATGATAATTTTGGGTGGCTCACCTTGCATGGCTTTCTTGAATTCCTCAAACAACAATACAAATGAATTCGTGGTTTCACTAGTTAGGAATGCACAACCAAACAACACTGTCTGCCGATGGTTATTAATGCCTAACAAAGGCGCAAAGACCATCCCATAACGGTTCATGGTGAACATCGTATCATTTACCACCACATCTCCAAATAAACCCATAAGCTCGTCTTGACTTTGCATCTGACTAGAAAACATTACCAATCCTTCCTTTCGAATCTACCTCCATCTTGAAATAAAAGGATTCATTCTTTTCTTGTTTAGCCAAAAAATGCTCCTTAAGCAGCTCTACATCATGCCCAATCCCCTCTTCACCCACGCCCCTTACATAATTATAGACATCTCTCTTAACAAACCCAATATTTTCCAATCCCCTACTTACACCTCAAGAAGTCTTACCTGTTAAGTTACGGTGAGATCTCAATAGATGGACTTTATCAGCTGTGGTCATGTCATGGTTGTGTTCCTCATTGAATCCTACAACAATTTACTTATTCTTGTCTTTTACCTTCAAAATCGCAAGTTTAGCCTTGCAACCAGTTTGAGTACAACCGTGCTATCTTATCTTACGACTAACAGTGCTTGTCAACGAATACCCTTGTTTACAACATACATATTCCTTCCTTGTTACCTCTCCTGTCAATGTGCACGTTCTCGTTGTAGAACACCGAATGCCAAATCCGGCTTTCGCGACATATATATTATAGAAATTGAACACATCGTCACAGCAATCAAATTCAGGTCCCAATTTTGGTTTCAACTTTGAACTAACTTCCAATGTCGCCTGTCCTTCACACTCCATTTCACAGTTCTTGTAATTTAACCCTGAAGTCACCATCATCATACCAACATTGGCACATGTTTTCAAAGAGCTTTAAAATATATATTAACTAACATATGATTTGAAAATGATTCTCTAGTGAAACATTAAAGACCTACATACAAACTAACATAACTCATGCTTATGCCCAATACTAAAATTGACAAATACTGTATATCACTTACCTCGTAAGTCATTTCCAACTTCAAAATTTCTACAAATATGACAATGTCGCCCTTTCAGATCTGGACGTCAATCCCAAACACTTTTTATCTTCCTCAACCCCTGTTTCGACCGTGCTCAAGGATTTCAAAACCAAGAGAACATAACCACAACGGTCGCGGTCACGATCACCAGTTTCCAACTCAACGCCAGTTTTGACGTTGCTCAAGGATTGACGAATGTTCCAACCAGACAAACCAAACCACAAAGATGATAATATAAAATAGATGAATACTTTGTTTTGCCTGAATGAAAAACCCAAAGAAATGAGGGCTATACTTCTGTGTTCTTCCTCTAATAGAAAAAGGAATAACATGGGTGTTCTCTGTTCAGTGTTATTGCTCTTCCTCAATCAAAGTTGATAAAAAAATTGGCCTCCTAATTGAATAAAGCGAACAGCTGGTTTAGAGGGGACGTTTGTTTTGGAGTGGACGTTATGGAGGGAGGAGAGAGAAGAAGGCCTCGTTCTAATACAACAATTTCACTTACAATTGCTTTTCATGCAGCCGTTAGATTAGATCCAACGGTGTTCTCATGTAATGTTGTCATATATGTGTTCTCACTAGATAACCGCCCATGTATTATTGGGCTTGTTGGGTCTTTTATTTTATGTTGTCATATACAACATAATTTAAAAGCACAAAAGATCCAAGCCTAATGGGCCTTAGGAATCTGAAACTCTTTAATCCCCAAGTTGAACATCCGATGTTTGAGTGTTTAATTAATTCTTTTAATTAATTTTTTGCCATAATCCATTACCATTTTATTGACTTAATCCTCTTCTTTGGTTTTACAAACTTTTTATCTCAATTGGTATGTGATCCATTAGGTTCTAATTAGTTAGGCAGTGGACGATTAGAACTCTTATTTTTGGTTGTGAATTAAAACCCCTTTTTAATAATTTCTTTTATAAGGACCCAGTTACGGTATATCATCAGAGCTTTCACAAGCTATGAGTGACACCTAACAGTATATCATGACTACTCAAGCCAAAATAGAAAATGCCCACAACCTATTCAATTGGAATTACAATGCAATATGATCGTTCTCTTTTCCAAATAATCATTAATCAGATTAATACGATACAAAATTTACTTCAAATTCCTAATGTGATTATTCACTACTTATATAATTCACTTGAGCATGATTAGAAACACCTTCCTTTATGTTGATTTATCTTTATCTCATATTCTTTGGACTTATTGTTTAAGCAGATAACGATTAAGGAGACATTTGTTATTAAAGAATAAACTTGCCATTATGATTAACCATAAGAGGTAATGAAATATCCACAAAGTTATGTCATATGTTTGACTTTAAGGCATATTCCAACAGTAAGTTGATCTTTTTTGCAGTTCTATATGCAAGGTCCATGTTCTAGGCTTGGTATTATAATAACCATTTTACTACCATGAGGATAGAAGTCACTAATACATCTAATAATAACCACATCATCAATATTTGTTAATCACTTGCTAATTATCTGTTAATCATCTGTTATGCATAATGAATCATATGTTAAGAGTTTCTTTGTAGGTTTAGAGCTTGGTGGACACTTATTAGAATAAGACAAATGTTACAACAACTTAGAAAACAAAAAGTTGCATATCAAGCATAAATTAAGAGTTTAGAAGAGTTATTTGTTACGCCCTCGACTCGGGGTACGGTGGAAATCCCGCGCCCAATACAGGTTTAAAATAAACTTCTCTTATAAAAATAGCTCTAAAATCTTACGAATGTACCAAAAATAAGTAACATTGTACTACTCTCATCTAATTCAATCTTAGCTTGCCTATCATCCATCTTTTGGGTTTTAAGCATGCTAGTTCTATAAAGGGGTGAGCGAAACCACAACTTAGTAGGGATATAAACCTTATGATATAACTAAATTAAATGACATGCAATCACATAGTTAAATAATGTGTCAATGATAATAATGCATGTATGGTCTTCGTCTATTCCCGTTAATTCATATAATTGGACAAGCAAATCTCGCACGTCCCATACCATGCTTATACCACTTGGTCTCTAATGCCCATTTATATGAACTAACACCCATCTCAACCATCCCATTATTCCCCTTTTGTTAGTCATCTTGTCTAAGTGCCAGTTTGGCATTGCTTATTTGGGGTGATAAGTGATTTTTTAAAAATTTTGAGAAGCCCAACTCGTTTGGTAAACTGCGAAAAATCACTTATAATTAAAAATTGATGTGAGAGAAAGTTATAAGGGAAATCAGCTAATGAGGTGCTTTCATTTTCTGATTATGCAGGAATCATTTTCTGATTGTGCTCAGCGAGGTGTTGGGTTTAATGATTATGCAGCAATCATTTTCTGATTTTGCGTAAAATCAATACTAACAACACTTTTAACAAAAATTTTACCAAACGCCAAACTGCTTTCTCTCACAGCAAATTTGACAGCGATTATTTTCACAGCACAGCAATGCCAAACTGGCCCTAAGTCATTGATCTCCAAGCCCAAATCACCCAATCGACAATTATACCGCTGATATCCTTTTCTACTGTGCACACGGGCTCGCTTGAACTTGGTCCCTACTAGTGGTTGAGCCAAAAAAATTTCACAGAGGGGGCTCCTCTCATATATTGAAGTACACTTTTTCTTTAGGGTGACAATCAATCAAATTTATTACTTTAAGAAAATCTATTTTAATTTCTATACTCCATTATTTTACATGTTACATTAACTATCTACTTATCATCAATCCTAACAAACAATAAAATGAAATGTACTTTATTAAAGATACACACTAGGAAAATTTCAATGGTAATTTATAGGGTTGTCCAGTTGAACCGCAATAACCGAAAAACCTTGGTTTCTGATAGAGTTTTAAGGTCGACAAATCGTCGTTGACTGGAAAGTCAATGCTGTTGCGATTGAACAATCAGACTGATCAGTGCTAGTACCAGATTCGGTATCTAGAAACCAACACCGTCGGCTACCACAACCGACTGTGCATGTTAGCAATAATAATAAAAAAATTAAAACATTCCCGAGCAACTTCCCACCCCCAACCTTCCCCCTCTGATTTTTTTTCTCTCCCACTCTCCCCTTGTGAGAAAGAGATGTTGGCAGAACAATAAGAAATATGAATTTAAATTATAATAATTTTCAACAAAATTGTAATCATCAAATATACAACAAATTTACGTGGAATTAATGTAAATCAACAAACACAAATGTGTACAAATACTGACAACTTTAGCGATTAAGGCTTGCAAGAATTGCAATGTCCTAAAGACAGATTTCGTTCGTGCCCTTGTGCTCGCAGTTCTATAGGCGTCCATCTCCCAGGATTCAACAATCGACAATCCTAAATTAAAGCACTTCAATTTAAGACTCTGGCAAACCAATTATATATTTGTACTCTCAAGGCAAAACTAGGAAGAATTTAACAATAGAGTACTTGGGATACTCTTTGTTTTTCATGGGTAAGAACTCTCTTCATTCTATAATTCAAGTAGGTGAGGGTGTTTGGTTTATATGAAACTCATTACACCTCTTATTGAAACATAAGTAGCTTTTCATTTAAAAAGTTACAGACACAACTCTATAGAAACAAGATCACTTGATCATTTGAATTCCACCGTTTAATTATTAATAACTGCACTTTAAAGGATAACTAAGTGCAAAATAAATACTAAGACACACGACACTTATTTTTCATTCACTATAAAAATTAAATATTATTAAATACTATAAAATTTCCAATAAGAGAGAAAGAGCAGAAAGAGTTTGAGAGAAAAGAGTGAGAGAGAGAAAAGGGAGAATAAGGGAAAAAGTAGGGATCTGGTAAAGAAAAAATGGCTGAGAAGAGGGTGGAGAAAGAGAGATATCAATGTTTAAAGGAAAGAAAAAAAAAAACAAAGAGACTCGTGAGTTTTGGCTTCTGACGTGGTGTGGCCTGAATGGTTCTTTGAATTTTTTTTTAAAAAATTAAATATTTTGATAAAAAAAAAGGGGGTTATTTTTGACAAACAAAAAGAAAAAGAAAAATGTTATTAGGGTTTAAAAAAATAATAAAATAAAAAGGGAGAAATGAAATGTGGGAGGGAGGAACGTGAAACCCTAGTATATATATATTTAATACAATATGTAAAGGATAGGAAAAAAAAAGCAATGTCAAAAAAATGGTTAAGTGAGAGGGAGTAGGCAACGACACGTGAAAACAAAAAGAAAGGAACCTAAGAGCATCCACAATGGTTGTTTAATAGTTCAATGCAATATTTCAATTTTTTGACCTATTTTGGTATCTATTGAATTGAACTGCATATTTATTTGCAATGGTACAGTTCAATAGATTCAAATCAATAGATCTTCTGACATGTTTTTTTAAGTACTCAAATAAAATAAAATTGATAAATTTAATAACACTAAAAGTTGTACAACTGAAATATTCTCAAAGAGATCTTTAAAAAGAAACCAATTTTGAATATATTTGAAAAAACAATTAATTTCATGCCAAATTTGTATATTTGATTTGTTTTTTTTTCCAAAAATATAGACAAAGAAAGATTAAAGTATGCAAGCTACACATGAGGGATATGCCATAAACCCATGCTTGGTTTTTGTTATTTAAGAAAACAAAAACTTGACCACATAGAAATAAAACAAGAGGACTTGACCACATAGACCCATGCTTGGTTTTTTGATTTTCATTCGAGAAATGTTGCCCTTTCATATTTGTTTGAAAAATAATGACAATTTCAAAACAAACAAAAAAGAGTTTGTAGTGAATGGAGTAAAGTATACAAATTCTAGTCATATATATAGGA